ACACACACACACACACACATACACACACATATCTATCTATCTATCTATATATATACATATGTATATGTATACATGTATACATACTTATATATATGTATATGTATATATATATATATATATATATATATATATATATATATATATATATATACATATATATGTATATATATATATACATATATATACATATATATATATATATATATTTGAAAAAAAAAATATATATATATAAGAAGAAGAAGAATGATGATAATAATAAGAATAAGAATAATAAAAAATATAATAATGATGATGATAATAATAAGAATAACATCCAATGATATAACAACAGTACCAATATTAATTACAGTAACGGTGATAACAACAATTTTATTTATTATCATTATTATCATTATTATCATTATCATCATTATCATTATTATTTACATTATCATTACTATTACTGCTGTATTACAGTAATGTTAATGATAATGATAACAATAACGTTAATAAAAGTGATAATGATAATGAAAATAATAACAGTAATACTTTGTACTCATGATGATAAAGGTAATAATAATGATAAAAACAATAATAACTAGAAATGCACTCAGAGAGTGCAGACCTCTGCCAAGGTGCGTATATAATATATATACTTTGGTTGAGGATGAAAAGGATCAGACCTTTCGGATGTACTTACACCGCTGCTGCGTCCAGACGGTAATTCGAAATGTCACCAAAATTTAATCAGTTCTAAGTTAGTCCCTTTCTGACTTGTCCCCAAAATTTCGATGAAATCCGGCCAGCACTTTTTGAGCTACGCTGCTAACAAATAAACAAACCAACAAACCAACAAACCAACGCCGTCAAAAATATAACCTCCTTGGCAGAGGTAATAACAATAATAATAATAATAATGATGATGATGATGATATCAATGTTGATTATGATAATACCGATAGTAATAGGGATGATAATAATGAGAATTATGAGAGAAATTATAACAATAGTATTAATAATGCTAATAATAATAATGATAATGATGATGATGATAATAACAACAATAATGATAATAATAATGATAATAATATTATTAATAATAATAATAATAAAAATAATAACAACAATAATGATAATAGTACTACTAATGATAATGATAATAATAATAACTAGAAAAGCACTCAGAGAGTGCAGACCTCCGCCAAGGTGCGTATATAATGTACTTACACCGCTGCTGCGTCCAGACGGTAATTCGGAATGTCAGTGAAATGTGGCACACGTTTACCGTAGATTTGTGTACCGAACTTGTTTATTGATTAAATAATGATAATAATAATAATAACCAGACGGTAATTCGGAATGTCAGCAAAATTTAATCAGTTCTAAGTTAGTCCCTTTCTGACTTGTCCCCCAAAATTCGATGAAATCCGGCCAGCACTTTTTGAGCTAGGCTGCTAACAAACAAACCAACGCCGTCAAAAACATAACCTCCTTTGCGGAGGTAATAATCATGACGAAATATTATTATCGTTAATGATAATAATTATAGAAATTATATCTGTAATGGTAATAATGATGTTAATAATAATAATAATGATAATGATGATAATGTTAATAATAATGATAATATTGATAATAATAATAATAATAATAATAATAATAATAACAGTATAAATAATGATAATAATAATAACAGTATAAATAATGATAATAATAATCATGATTATAATTATAACAATAATAATCATTTATAATGATAATAATAATAATGATAATGAGGAGGAGGAGGATCATGATAATAATACAAGCATTATTAGTATTATTAATGATAATAATAACAACAATGATAATGATGCTAATAGTAATGATAATAATAATGATAATAGTAATGATTATGATAATGATAATAGTAATAATAGTAATAATGATGATGATGATAATAATAATAATAATAATAATAATAATAATAATAATAATAATAATAAAAATGATAATAACAATAATAATAATGATAATAATGATAATGATAATAATAATAATAATAATAATAATAATAATATAATAATAATAATAATAATAATGATAATAATAATAAGAAATAAAAAAAATAATAGTATTATTGATAATGATAATAATAACCATTATCATTATTGTGATTATCATTATTATGTTAATGATAATGATAGTATTGTGACATGTAAAATGTACGAATACTTTACTGGTAAACACATGTCAGCCTTATATGTTGTATCAGGCAGTCAGAAAAATGCGTTGTTTAAAGAGCTTATACACATGTACACATAGACTCGTTACTGTATCAGGATAGGGCAGATATCTAAGAGGCTGCCTTTTATAAGCTAGCCATCGAGCTTCAGTTGGCGACCACCCACTCGTATCAACAAACAAACCCGCACACGCTCAAATTACCTCGCGATTTATGTAGACTTTGAATTCCTAAATACACATCACAGATAGATGAACGTGTTTCTCTTTCCGGATAATGTAAGGAACATTACAGATA